CCTGAAAGTAATTATAATTGTCTAATTTCAAAGTTGAATTAGGATGCTTTAGGGGTTTGATGTAAAACTTCACATTCGGTTCAATGAAGTATCACCCTAATTTACAGCTCCAGATAAGGACTAAGTCTGTCATAAAAATCTGCCCGTCCTCTTCCTCCCTCCTTCCCTCCCTCTCCTCCCCAGGATTGAATTGCACCTTGGGCAATAGTGCAGAATCGTGAATCTTAACTTCTCTCAGCATATGTTCCTGGCAGATAAGTAAACAATTTGGATGTGGAATGAAATTTTTAATTAATACTACAGTGGTGTAATGTGAGGGTATATGGCTGTACAGCGCGGTCCGCACATCCTCTCCTCCATTAGCGGAGTGGAGGAGAAACTGCGCTGCATTCACATTTAAATCTTTAAACGCTTGTAGAATTCCTCCTGTTTGGGGGCTGCTTTCATCATTCGCAAGTTTATACAGGTTTAAACGCGTGTGAATGAGTTGATGATAATAGGCTTTAGCGGGCTTTTTGGCTGCAGCACCTTTCTTTTTCTTTTTCTTTTTTTAATAAACACACACGCACAGATGTTTGAACCGCACTTGTGGGCTGCTTTACAGCCCGACAGTAAGTTGCAAGAGAGAGAGAGAGAGAGAAAAAAAAATTCACCTCACATCACATTAAGTTTGTTCCATTAGTTAAACCTATAATTAAGAAGAAGGCTCCCTCCTTGAAGTGATTAAGCAGTCAGACAAGTCGGACGGGCGGAATCCCTCCAGGGAGGCCTCTCCTGAACTGTCAAACATCAAAAGATCACAACCGGTTCACTCCAGTGTCACAAACACACCCTCACCCTACTGAACATGTCTGAAACCTGTTTCAAACTATTGAAAAGGAAGCAGCAGCCAAACAGAGGCAATTAGAGCCTCGGTGAGGAAATGATCGGAGTGGAGGAGAAAGGATCGATTAGGAAAAGGAGGATTGATTTGGATGTTATTGTTCTAGTGCAGGGCGAGTGTGTTAACGTTCAGTCTAAAGCCTATCAACTCTATTGATCAGTTTGGGGGTCAAGTTGGGTCTAACATTTGGAAATGTCAAAAATCCTCGCAATTGTTTTATTATTTTGTTTTAATTGTGAATAATTTTTTCCCTTCCAGTAATTTATTAAATCACATAATTGTATTTTATTTTTAGTATTTAACATTTTAAATGGATTAACTCAGGCCTTTATTCTGGCAGGTGCAACTTCCCCGCAGCACGTGCACAATATTCCGCTATCTGTGCCATCTCAATCCCCAATAATCTACAAATACAGGAAATTGATAGCGTTGAAGACAGATTGTCTTTATTCGAAATGCCTTTGCTCAGCAATTGAACAAAGAGCAGGAGGTATCAACCTTCTAGATACATTATCCTTTCCATAACATGACAGATTTTAAATTACCATCTTAGATGATAGTACACATATAACTCCTGGAATTCAAATAGAAGTTATCCTCAAAAAACATAAAAACAAAAATTAAAGGACGCGTGTGACTATATTAGCACTGAACCACAGGAAAAATGCAAACTAAAACATTTGGATGTAAATGAATTTTTTTTCTTTTTGTCACCTTAAATAGACCGTCTAGTTTTATGTGCCAGTTTTTGATAAATATAAACAATATGACCCGTATATAATCCGGCCTATGGGTCCTGATTTTGACCCTATCCAGAACATCATAAAATTACGAGTGCCAAAATGTAGACTACTTAGGCCTATACAGGAAATAAGAATGCTAATTGTGCAAGCCAAATTTTCAAAATAAAAGAGTACCCTATCAATAATCAACACAAATCAGCATATCAGCATTGAAATGTACACAATAAATAAAGTTAAAGGCCTCCTTTTTCTGGTTGCCATAAACGTTATAACATTTACATTTCTTACAGTTCACAGGGCACCGTCCTTTACACCAAATCCCAGCTCCTCTGCTCAACTCAGGAACTTGTTGGGTTTCAGGAAAAGTTTTTTTTTTTCTTTTTTTTTTGCCATAACAAGTCCAAGGCAGTTAATACTGTTCATGCCTTTTTAATGGGGCGCGCTGTCCATAATATATTTACATGCATTTCAGTATTCAAGTGAATTTAAAAAAAACAGGAGAGTCTTGAGGGTTACATGGCAGTGGCATGTGCGGATGAATATGGGTCTATCCCAGTCTTGGTCATACCTGGAAAAAGTATGTAGGCCACCGGGGGCTGTAAACTTGACGTTGACCAGGCTGTGCAGTTACACGGGACGACATAGCCCGGGTTCGTGGGCGACGGGTGGGTGTGGGTGTGCTGACTGGGGCACCCAAGGGTGCCGAACGCGCCGTTCTGGTATCCCAACGAGGACGCGTACGGCAAAGTGCTGGTGCTCAACGTGTGGGGCATCTCTGTCATCTTCTGGATGGCGCTGGAGCTGAACTGACTCGGGTCGAGGAAGGAGTAAGGGGTGGACGTCGGCGGCAGAAACGCTCTGGCTTTCTCCGAGTGGCTCAAAAGAGAGTCCGCGGCCGACACGGGAAGTCCCTTCAAGTGATCGGTGTCCCCGAGGTAAGGCAAAGGGAAAACGTACCTGTCCTTCTTGAGCAGGTTTTTGGGTTTGCGCCTCGGTCTGTACTTGTAGTCGGGGTGCTCCTTCATGTGCTGAGCCCGGAGCCTCTTGGCCTCGTCAATGTAAGGTCTCTTCTCAGACTCAGAGAGCAGCTTCCACTCGGCGCCCAGTCTTTTGCTGATCTCCGAGTTGTGCATTTTGGGATTCTCCTGTGCCATTTTCCTCCTCTGGCCCCGGGACCAGACCATGAACGCGTTCATGGGTCTCTTGATGTGATCAGCAGGCTTTGACATCTTCAAAAAGTGTGCGTTTATCCCCCAATGTTAATGACGAGGAAAAGTTCTTATCGGTAGGAAGGGAAACTATTCACCTGTCCAGATGCCAGATACAAGTCATGCCACGTCTGGGGATGTTCTGAGAGTGGAAAACAGCAAAAATCAAATAGAATAAAATAAAAATCCAGAGCCCGGTTTGCTTTCTCCCGAGTTAAAACACTGATGCGCGTTCGTTCAAGTCCGGTTACAACTCTCTTTCAGACCTGCGGCAGGCGATACAGGAAAAAAATACATGCAAGATGCACACACGGTAAAAAAAAATCCTCAAAGGTGAAAGCAATGTTCCGCAGTCAGTTTGCAGGAGTCGTAAAAGTGTTATTTTTTTTCTGCGACACACTCTCCCTCTCTCTCTCTCTCTGAGGTCTGTCGTCAAGCACCTGGCTTGGAAATGAGCGGAAGAGCGTGAATACGAGCCAAAAGCGGTGAAGTTCAAAGGCTGGGCTGGTTTGGTTTCTGCACGCAATCTGACATAATCTGCAGGGCGTTCACTCACCAACCTGAGCGCCCAATCAGCACGAAGACCGGCTATTATAATACCTTCACCAAAAATATATGTACATTACAACATAAACAAAGAGCGGGTGGTAGTAGGAGGAAAAAAATAAGAAAAGAGGGGTGTGTGTGTGTGTGTGTGTGAGAGAGAGAGTGTGTGTGTGTGTGGCGGGGGTAATACTCAGGATCCCTCCCTGATTCCGTTTAATGTAATGAATCGCAACAAACACGGACCTTCAACCTCTTTTCCAGTTAAAACCTGACTTCAACCAGAGAGGTGACTATACCGTGCAACCAATTTACTGTACAGCTTTACACAGAAATATAGGGGAGCACTTCTAATGCTTGGTCCCCAAAATACATATAGATAGGCTTAAATAGAGTTGTTATTAAAGCCTATTTTTTTTTTATTTGTGTAAGTGATGGAATGTGTAATAATAATAATAATAGTAATAATAACAATAATCATAAAAAAAATACGCTATTCATCCCCTTAAAGAAAATGATTTTTAAATAAAATCTCACTCCCTCCCTGTGATATAAAAACATGGCAGCCCCTCTGCACCTGCCGGGCTTCGGTGTCTTGCTCAAGGACACGTCGGCAGGGCTTTAACCCGTGGCCCTCCAGCTGCTCAGCGCTCACAGAGGCCACAGTGTGAAAGGGTTCAGCTAGGTGTAACCTTCCCCTAAACATCTGACTCTAAAGCGCGCCACAAATACTGGAAGAAACTAGCATTTCCTTTATGGTTTTTAAAAAAAAAAAAAAAAAAAAAAAAAGGCCCGCCAAACAAACAAACACGCGCGAGCACACGCACATAAGCACACGCGCGCCCCATCGATACTGAACCTATGGGAAACTGAACTGTGTTAGTGACAGAATTACAAACAGCAAGAAAATATTACATCAACTGTAAACGTTTAGGAAAAGCGTCATTGTGAGGCTCTAATTGTTGCATTAGCTCACTTCAATGTGACAGTGTGGTTTTAAGGAGGCACAGAGTGATCGTTTTAAAATGCTAATTCCAATGAGGACCACTGCCTAATAGCCCTCGGGCTAATGTGCGTGATATATGATTCCTTCAGCTGTGATTATTAAAGGAAACGCAGACAGCTGAGTTTCTTCACACCGCCAAAACGCTGTGATTGGAGATACAGTCGTCTCTAGTTAGTTACACCGCAGAGCACATTTATTTAAGGTTGTCTTCGGCCTATATAGCTTGATATAAATATATATGAATACACACACACACACACACATACTGTGGACCACATACTGCAATTATCATCTCATCTTTCTCTCTCACACACACACACCAATAAACCATACACCACTTCAGAGATGATTTTAGTTTCTTTAACCGCATTACACTCACATGTTGATATCTCTAATATGCTTGCATGACAAATAAAAAAATAAATCTGAATGAAATACTTTATAGGCTACCTCAGAAATGTGGTCAGGCCAACACCTTGGGTTTATTTATGGACCATATGTTATTAGTACTAATATTTAGATATTATCCTGGACAAAAGGGAGGGAGATGCTATCTTGTACAGGCAAAAGTCACTTTATTTATAAAACCGAAACAAGACAAAATGGAGTTGATTTTCCTGCCTGTGATATTCCCATATTTCAGCACCATCTGTGTCTCTTTCTCACGCTCTCTCTCCGCTCCCCGTCTCCCCGCACACGCATGCGTCAAGCGGTAGCCTGTAACAAGAAGATTTCCATCATATCTTTCTTTACAACCCCTGAAATTATCGTTAGAAAAAAATGCCCGTTTTGGGAGAAAAACCCTCCTCACCCCGACCCACAGAACAATGTAGCCCACAGCTGAAGGACGCCTCCGACTTTTTTCAATACAAGCGCCGACCGGATGCCTGCAAAGAGAAAAAGCTCCTCAAATCCTCCCAATCGGCAGGCTATGATGTTCACCAGCAGCCATGAGGTAGTATACTGCATGTTCGGACTGTATATTTCAGCGTATTTTTGAAGTTTTAAATTGTGTTATGCTATCTTTCACTGAACAGCATGTGCAATTTGACATGTAGCGTTCAGGGCTGCCATCCATACACCAGCTTAGGCTTCATTTTGAGATCAATGAATTAGATAACGGGAAATTATTTTAGGGGCTGAGCCTCCCGTACTCACGAGGGAGAAGTCAACTATGTTTCTTATTCAAAAACGGATTGTCTAATAAATGCACGGCTGAAAGTTCCCTCGACAATTTAACGGGATAATGAGAAATGCAGTAGGTTTTAATTTGTCAAGGATTGAGATGATTATTAGTTTTTTTTCCATCGGCGGTTTCTCTTCAGTTTTTCTCAAATATAATCGTTAGTGCGTTTGACACAGCCTACTGTCTGAGATAAAAACCTTTAAATACAGCTTATAAATAAAATAGTGCTGGGTTAACACCTGCGTCAGAAACTTCTCCCCATCTGCAAACTTCAGGCATTTGGAAATGTGAAATTTGATTGTCATAACCATCATCTAAAAATAAACAATAAAATATGAAAAGCAAGAATAAAAAAGATAATGTGAATGTACACGGTGTAAAAAGTCGATATTTGATTTATTTGCTTTAGAAGACAGTGTTAGAGTGAAAGCAGCGGTCAATCACAGCTGTCAGTAGTAATAATTATAAAATTAAGTTTTAACCAATTATAACTCAGAATTACAAACAGAGACACGCATACCCGTGCGCGCGAGACAAATCCCCCAACACCCCACACACATAGGGTACACACACACACACACACACACACACACACACACACACACACAAAACTAGGATTATCTAAGGACACATGTCCATCCATCTCGCCTTAAAAAGTGAATGGGGAGCGGCCTGACACACAGAGAGCCTATTAGCCAACTTGGGCTCCCGTGGAGAGCATTGAGGTAAGCTCCCCTACCGTAACTGTCCATGGTGCTGAAGCGGTAAGAGGTTTTCTTTACTGCACACTTGCGTCCTCCCTCAAAAACTCTTAAAAGCTAGGGTTGACATTTCAATGCCTTTTATTGTATTTCCATCCTATTTAGTGATGGTTCTCTGTAAAAAATAAAATATTAGAGACTGAGACAACTCACATGCTCTACAACTTTCCTAACTTTTTTTTCCTCCAGCAGAATGTTTGTAAGCCTATTTAATTCACAGTGTGGAAGAACTGCTGTTACACCACAGTTGGAACTAATAAATTACGGCACCAGAAATGATCATAAACACATTTTTATGTTGTCAAAATATCCCTAACTGTGTGGCCTTGTCAATATCGTGTATAATATAGCATTACCAATTCTGTTTATATTATTAAACTTTTGCTTACGGGATGAGATTTTAGCATTTATAGATGGATGACTTTATGATAAGATGATTGTGGTCTATATTAGAGATGATACGGGACATAAAAGATGTGAAAAACAAAAAAAACAAAAAGGCAAAGCAAGAACAAACTCAGTGAGATCACCTTTTGAAAGAGGTTGGTAAAGCGTGTGCCTTCCTTTTCAATGATAGTTACACTGGTAACACAGTCCCAGCAATTAGCCAGTGACATTTACACTTTTTCTTTAATGATTACACAGACTGAACCTATTCTAACCCAAAAATTGCAGTCTCGACAATCTAAAGTGACAAACAAATTTTCTAATTACTGTGAAACACCTTTACTTTTATGTAACTCTGAATGAACTTAGAATAGTTGAGTGCTCACTTGTTATCACTGATGTTTTTTATTTCTGATCTATACTGAAAGTTTGCAAAGAGCAACACAAAATTCATTGTAATTCACTCGACGGAATTGTGCCATCTGAACCCTCACATGGCACTGCTCAGATTCCTCTACAAGAAAATGTTTTGAAAATGATTTTTAAAATGGAACCATTTAACAGCTACAACCCTGTTTACAGAAAGTATTCCATCTGCCTCATTTATGTTTTCACATTTAAATACCGAGTGTTTATGGTCAAGGCCCCAGTTTAGACTGATGTGACCATGCTGTCCCTGGAAATGGTACAAAAATGTGTACGTACGCTTGAATTGTCGATAATAATGCTTGAAACGTTAGACACAAAAAGGCCTTATTTCACCGATCCAGAAATAATTCCAAAACTCAGATTCAGCACACAATACTGTAGCTCTTTTTACATTATCCGGTTACAAGTACCATTCATTGACGCTGAGAGGCAATCAAAACAGGAATGAGCAGTATGCGATGTGTGAGTATGAGATGTGTTGCTAACATTTGGCATATGTTACAGAAAATATACAGATACTTAATATCTTTGTGCTGGCTATTTCTAAGTATGACAGTAAAATCAGACTTGAACAAAATCTTTTAAAATGACTAAACTTAAGCTGTTCTCGCTTTTATTGTTCAACAGTGGATAGTACAGAGCAGAGCAGAAAAAAATTAACAAAGGTTCAAGGCATCAGGCAATAATGAAAGGATAGGGGCAATACTTCAAAGACCACGAGGTCCACATCACACAATTATACAATACAATTAGGATTAAAGGGGCAAAAGAGATAACAGGAGATAGGGATAAATTATCACAAAAGGAAAGATGTGACTCTCTCCTGACCTTCATTAAGAGAAAAAAAAAACTCATTTAGAGCTGGCCTTCCTTGCAGGGGGATTTGAGCCTTTCACATGAGACTGTGACTCACAAGATAAGATTCACAGAGTATAAATGAAAATCTGAACTACTACCAAACAATAACTTCAAATGTTTATAAAACAATGCATATATATATATAAAACATACAATAATTCCATTTTAATAATTGTTATAAAACTGGACTCATTTTTGAACACTTTCCTACCAGGCAAAGCATAAGTTTACTGTTACTTAGGAAATTAAACAGTTGGACACAAAGCATTGATTCTGATACTGATTGAACCATTTTTTGATGATAGCATTTAACTTTCTTTAACTCATGCAACTGTCTGAGCCACTCAGTAAATTGACACCTTAAGGTTGTTGACTGTTTCTATGGTAACCATGGTATGTGTACATGTTAATTCAAATGACAGTTTAGGGGGCCTAAAAACAGCATCCAATAATGACTATAATGCTGAGACAATGAACCAATCAATGTTAAAATTGTTGCTTTGGTCTGTAAGCACCGCTTGATTGATTTTTGTCAGTGTCCCAACAAACAAGCAAACAAACTTTACAGGTTGAACAGGGTAAGAAAAGTTGGATAATCTCCCTCCTCTGATAGAAATACTATAATCTATACTAGAAGATCCAGCTCTTTTCCACAGACTTCCAGTAGTTTTTGGCCACCCCTTTCACTTTTCTTGCAAGCAGGACACATCTGCTTCTGACTAATGATGTCTTGAGAGGACGATCAACAAACTGGTTTTTATGTGTATGGATGACATCTTGACCACTCAATGGAGCTCCAAAGATGAGCATAGCCAGGCCCTTCAGTGCCTCTTTTAAAAGCCTGATTCAAGGACAAGAGACACAATGTCTCTACTTGTAATGGTTACATGATTTCTGAGGTCAGTATAAAGATAGATTCAGATTTAGCTTACATGGTGTCTGAATGGCCACAACCACTCTAAAGAAACCGTACAAAATGCAATATTTCTTTCCCTAAGATGGGGAAGAAATGACCTGCCCTACTCCGCCTCTGATTGGCTTACCCTGATAATCTTACCCTAACCCTAACCAATCCCACTTCTCATGCATAAACCTTAACAACTCAAAATATGAAGGCAACAAGTATTACTTCGTGATTTTGCTCTGTTACTATACCATTGGGTTAACTCAGGGTATCTTCAGTAGTACAGAGGGACCTCTGAGGCAGACAGAGCATATGAGGCCCTTCAATGGCACTGTAACTGTGCTCCCATATTGGTTTATCTAAACTCCTCATTGTCTTTTGTCTGGAGGCAGATGCCTCCAATGTGAAATTCATCTACAAACCGTTGCAGAAGCTACCTTGACCTGGAAGAATGGGAAAAAGCAAAACACCCTTGGACTGACCATAGGAGCCTAGCCTATACCCAGACAGCAAAGACTGTATTCCTCTTTAATTTTATACTCTCCAAGAACAAGAAACCTGATGTGTTCTCCCACCCTCATCCACAGCTGTACAAAATTCTTCCATCCTCTACTGCCATCCTATGGTCCATTGCACATTCTTGCACCTTCTTCCGGCAATGGCCCTGATACTATTCGATGCAGGCAAATGTCCAAACATCTTCTACCTCTCCCTGATGTGGAACCATGATGCTCCCATATCTCCACTGACATGCTCACTAGTTTTCTGCCATCTTAAAGACAACACCATCATCATCCACTCCAAGGCTACTGCACCCTCAACTTTCTCCTGCCAATGAAGCAGCCTAACCCATGCTAAATCACATCTTCTAACTGCACCGTCTTCTGCAGGACCTTGTATGCAATACAGGCTCCCAATTAAAGTCTTCTGCTAACTCTTGGGCTCTTCCATCCATCTTTTCTCCCACTTCTTTCCCCCAGCCCACTTGCCAGAAAGGGACACTTCAACAAGGACTTGGAGGGTATCCCACCCACACATCTGAGTTCTACTACATCTTCCTTCTTTCTTCTTCTAGGGGTCTTTCTAAGTGTTCCTGGGTTACCAACCACATCTCTTCCCAGGGCAGGAGAAGGAAGTAGATGGGACAGTGCTTTGGGATTTTTCAGCCAGACTAGAAAAATGCTTTTGTACATTGTGCTGCAATATTAGAAAACCACTGCAATCCCATTGTAGTCAGCAAGTCTGCAGTACATCACAGTCCACAGCAGAAGGTATAGCTCTGCACCAAAGAGCTCCCAGTTGTTCAGAAGGTCACCAAAAAGTCCACCAGTCCCCTGACCTCAGTCCTCAAGGTAACACTGCCACCACACTCTGCTTGACTGGTGGTCCAAAAGAATGATCCTGGATCGTTGCTTGTCCTTTTTGAATGCAGATTCTATTAGAGCAACCTATGGATATAACTGTGCCAAAAACCGTACGGCTACCTCTGTCTTCCTCCTCTGTACACAAGAGGAAGTATGTGCTGAAGAAGTCAAAATGAGAGGTCTGTGAATCAAAGGCTTAAAAAAAATATTTGAAGTCAGAGTTGTCATCTGGCCCTGGCACACGGTTGTTTTTGTGGTGCCAAGCATCCAATTCTGTGCAAGAAATACACATTGAGAAAGAACAACTGTTTGGTGCTGAGGAAAGGCCTTACCCTGAAGGGACAGTCCCACAACTTTCTTAAAATCCTGATTACATGATGAGTCCAGTTTTGTGTTAATTACTGAACACAAAACTTGGCTCACCTTTTGTGCTGATGTAATTTTAATTTTTAATTAATTTTGGAAAAAATATAAATTAAATTAATCTTTTTTTTACTTGTAAATTGAAAAACTTGATTTTTGAAAATCAAGCTTGAGGTAATATTCATTACTAAACACCATCACGGCTAACAGAATGATGACATACACGCCTCCCCTCTGGCAACAGCTAGTTCCCAAATGACAACTGGGATGTTATTCACCATTATATAATATTCTGTATTTGGGGGAAATTCTCAGATTAAACAACAGCTGTTCTTTTTAAATAAAATATCCATGATAACGCCTATTACACATTTATACTCACTCATTACCTCTCATTGTAGCCTGAAGCCATATCTCATCAGTGGACGTAATTTGTCTGTTAGAGTGCGTGCCCGGAATTGACATTCAGGCTCTGTTGGTTCTTTTTAATTATTGGAAAAATACTTTTTAAGACATACAACACAGGATATTGTGAAATACTATATTTTGATCAATTGGATTTGATGGTTATATTACAATGTAGACACCCAGAGGTCAAGCAATTGTGCCTTTTACTGGAAAATCATATCTTGGTGGTCAACTGCCCTGTCAAACTATAAACATCTACGTACTAAGAGTCAAGTAAAAAAATGTGGATAGGTCAGTAATCCCAATAGAGCTAGATACACAAAGATGCTATACCTATATTCATTTTAACATTGTGAATAGCTTTCTTTTTATACAACCTTTCTTTTTTTATTCTCTCATCACAGGGCTACCAGTGGCTCCATGAGTCTGAACCTCAAGACTTGGTGGAAAGCCCATGAGTCCGTGAGTCAGGTGATGAATTCAAAACTTAAATTGAAAATCAATATTCCACAGTGGTGCTCTTGAATGTCTCACAATTACACATATCAGTCAACCCCCTCTTGTACCTTTTCTCCCTGTTTTGTTTACAGAAGTTGCGTCCTGAATTATGAAGTGGGAAACCTTCCTTGGACAAACAGCTGCATTTGAAATCTGAGCTGCACTGTAGGTATTGTAAAATCAAAAACAGAGACAACTCAACTGTGGAAGAAAAAAAAAATAGGCCGTTAAAGAATGTAGAAGCTTTTGAAGCCAGACACACTGATGGAGAAAAAAAATACAATTCTACAAATCTGTATCAGTGAATGATTAATTAATTTTGGTTGAATGATCTGTTCCAGCCTTGTGAGATATCAGTTTCCATTTCTTTCACACTTTTACAGAAGATCTCAAGAGACCGCTAGTTCAAAAGACAGTTCAATTTAGAGTTCCCACTGGAAATGCTTTCAGAAAGTCTCTGCCATACGTTGGGCTTTGATGTGTTTTAACTGTCGTAATCTCACTGTTCAGAGATGGGGAAAATAAATTCTGTTAATTTTTTTCATTGTAAGTGCTCTTTTTTCTTGACCTCACATTACATTTGACACTTCACAAAATATGAAAAGATTATGATATAAAATATCTGTGTAAAACTTTTGTGTTTGTTATATATAATAGCATCACCCTTTTCATTTTCTACTACATAGTGTACAGACTAGTTTGTACTAGTGTACATACAGTATTTAATTATCATTATTCTATTATATAAAATAAAAGCTCTACTTCTACGTTTCTTCCCTGTTATCTTGTAATTTTGTAAAAAAAAAAAAAAAAACACACGAAAAAACTGACCTTTTTCCTGATAGATAAAGATTTTGATTGAATCACAGCTATTTATTAGTCTATCGAGCTTGACCTCCATCATGTTATAGCTGGAAGGTGACTTGCTGTCAAAGAGTCAAAGAATCAGCTTTGGACCCGGCAGGTCATTTATTAACGAAAGAAAAGATTGATTTCCTGTCATATGCATTTGTCCCAAGTGGTTTTTTTTTTAAACGGCAGTTGTCTTTGGCTCGCGTTACGATCCACATGCTGCTTTCTAATAAGTGTCACATTTAAATATATGCATTCGCAGGTAGATCTTTGATAGCTGTTTATTCAAAAGCGAGCCAAACTTGAAAAGAGGATATAACCTCGACTCAGAACTCTGGAGGGGTGGACTAAGATTGAAATTGGTCTGACTCTCTCTCTCTCTTGAATTGAGGGTCCATTGTAGTACGTCAAACAAAAGGTTTTTATCAGAGGCTCTTAATGTAACCCCCTCCCCTCACTCTCACGGCCACCAACTCGTTCTTCTCTTCCTCTCTTTTCTCATTCATTTATTCCACTGTGTGTGGAAATAGGCTGGGCAACAATTAATTTCAGAGTGAATTCAGGCAGGATCTATTACCCCTCTCTGCCTCTATTGCTCTAATGGAAATCTATTTCACTTCTCTTTTGTGTCCAATATAATTTAATGCCCATTTTATTAATGGCCTGAAATAATTACGGAAGGCTTTTGTGATTCTTGAGTATGTTTCATTTAATTGTGTAATAAATGTCTAATCAGAGCTCCCATCTGAAGCCATTATGGCATTAAAATTAACAATTACGCCACAAATGTCTTGGTGAATGCGTTGGGGTCTATAGAAATCGTTGCTGATAACAAGACACATATAAATCATTCATGAGAATTTTTTCAGAGAAAAGCGGAGTGAGAGATAGGAGGATGGGAGGGAGAAAAAAAGAAGTGGGGGAAGAAAAGAGGAGAAGAAAGAGGCTGAGTTTTCTTTATTCCATTGAAAAACTGGGGATGGCCAAAAGATAGGGCATTTTAAAACTGTGTCACCCTCTCCAGTCCCTTTCTTCCCCTGTCTCTCTCTATCTCCCTTTAATTTGCCTTCCTCTTTATTTTTGAAGTGACAGATTTCACTTTGGGAATTCATTAACCGTTAACTTGGGCGATAAAATATCTATCAGGCCCTCTGCCCGGTTCCTTTGCTAAGCTGCGTGGCGCTCCGGTTCAACGTTGTGGGTGACCGAAGGCAATTAAAGAGGCTTCACACTCCCTCACTCTCCCAGTGTCACTTGCTCAGTGAAAACAGGAAGGCTGCTCAACGTACCAGCAAGAATTGTTTTCTTAGTAGCCAAGTATACAAATTTCATGGTATGGGGAAACTCCATCTGCCACTAAAAACCCTCGTCAGTTCCTCTGTGTCATTTCCAAGCTAATATACTACAATTGGTTTTGGTGAATCTATTTTAATAGCATAAGGTTTTGGCCTTCTTTGTTCTCTATTACCATGATGCACAAAGGGCCTCCCCGGGCAATGGATTGCACCCTGGTCCTAACCAGACTCTTTCAAGTGACAGAGTCAAGGAAGTGACTTTGATGTAGTTTCATGTTAATGAGAAGGTTTATTCTATTCTCAATCAAACACGCATTTTTGAATCAAGCAATCTCGGATAAGTTGGTTGGTATCGCCCATCTCTTACTCTGTCCCATCTGAGCAGGGTAGACTGCTGCTGCTGGAGACTTAATAATTCACCAATATATACATATACAGAAGCTCCATTGCATGCATGAATATGATTGGGTGAAATCATTCAATACCTGACATGCACTGTAGCCGTAAGTCCAACTTTTTATATAAAAAAGGAATTATTGTTTTCTATAAAGCTCTGAGACATGTATGGAGTCGTTTTAGTTCCACTTTTAACCAACCATTAATTTCAGTCAGTTCTATTTATTTTATATTTATCATTTATTTATTTGTTTGTTCTATGTGGATAGTAGGGCTGCACAATTAATCAGAATCACAATACAGTACAATATCCAAATCAAAATTTTTGATAAAGATAAAAGGTTTGACAAAACAGCATTATAGTGAAGAACTGTAGTGCTGCAGGGCTGCAAACCCCAACAAACGCTTCGTCATTAGGATTTGTGCAGTTTTATCAGTGAAAATGAAAATTGTGAAGCAAAAATGTATCATTTCCACTAATCGTGAATCATATTAAAATCTGTCAAAACAATCCCAATAGTATTTTTTCCCAGATCGTGCAGCCCTTGTGGTTTGATTTTAAAATGTTTCATGGTACTGTTATTGTCAATGATAGTGAATTTTTAACCCCTAAAGCTGTATCATGTAAGGCACTAAGGTGCTAGTACTCATAACGTTGGCCAGTCACTGACCAATCAGATGATTTAAGAAAGAAAAATAACCTAAAAAAAAAAAATGATTCAGTTGGCAAAGTTCAAACTCTAAAAGATCAGATTTCTCATTGGATTCAATTTTTTAAAGTTTCCTAGTTCTGGGACAATGTAACAAATCTTGAGTATCATATTCTCTCCCAGACACAGTGTTCTGTCAAATGAAAGGCAGTGATTATTAAGTCTGTATCTATCAAAGGAGTTACAGGGTTGTTTACGCCCCTTCCAGGCCGGAGTAACCTGCTTGCAGGCCCTGGGGCAAAAATGGGCTGACACATAGGTCAACCGCGCCTCCTTACCATCTGCACACTGTTCATAGTACTCATGTGCTGAAATATTACAAATAAATGCATGAATATTTACCAGCTAAAATATTAAAGGTCTGAAAACCAGATTTTGGGACAGGGCCTTAAGATTGGGTGATAGAGCAGGATCCACCTCAAGGTCCTGAAAAGGCTTGCTTGTTGTGCTTTATATGTATATACCCATATTAAATAAACAAAGTTACAATTAAATAACCACAAAGCAATTGTTATACAGTGAATCTGGGCTGTTTGGGGCCCCTAGGGTTCTGGAGCCCTTGGTAATCCAACCTTGTCTCTTGCCCAACAGAGCAGTTTTTGGGCATTTATGCCTTTATTGGACAGTTGGAAATGAAGAGGCAGACAGGAGATGGGGGCAGAGAGAGGGGGCATGACATGCAATAAAGTTTTGCAGTTATGTTACATACGGGTACCAAGGGGCTCCTAACTGACAACATAGTAGATCTGAAGGATTGCAGTGACTACTAGGGCTGTCCCTGACTAAAGATTTTTTTAGTCGGCTGTGGCTCAGAGGAAGAGTGGGTCGTCCACTAATAGGAAGGTTGTTGGTTCGATCCCCGGCTCCTCCCACCACATGTCGAAGTATCCTTGAGCAAGATCCTGAATCCCCGAATTGAGTGTGTATGAATGAGTTAGTTTCCGTTTGATGGGCTTTGCCATCGCTGAGTGTGAAAGGGTGAATGTGGCAAGAAAGTGCTTTTAGTGGTCGGAAGACTAGAAAGGTGCTATACAAGTACAGGTCCATTTACCATTTAGTCAACTTGTAGTCGTTTGTTAATGCCAATAGTTGACTGATCATTGAACGTTTATGATGTTAATTTAATTATTTAAATATATATATTCTAACAGTCGTCTGTTAAACGATGATGGAAAAAGCGGTAATGATTCTGAATGTGTCAGAGTAACGCGCGAGGAGACTGAACATTTAGTTAATTTATTTCAACGCAGTATAACATCAAGTCGGAACTTCACAAAAACAAATACTGGCGGAATTATCGATACGATGGATGATGTGTAATGTTAACAATAAATTACAAATCAACTCACTCCTCTCCCTCCCTGCCTTGACAAGCTCACTAACTACTTTCCTGTTTGAAAAGTTCAGAAAACACATTATCACATCCAGAAGGCTCTTAAAACCAGCTACTGTTAGAATGCCATTATCATGATATCAAAGGATATCCTTGATCATTGAAAATGGTCCTTCAGCATGCCAAAGAAAAGCAATTAACCATGTTAATGCAATAAATTCCATTTTTAAAAATGTTCTTAAATCATATTGTCATGTAACAAAAAATAGCTGAAAAAGTATGAAGTGTAACAGGGTAACAGTCCATTTAAGAGGTTGACCTGACTCTGATTCACCACTGCAATATGACGATTCAACAATCACTACAAAGGGTGCAGCCTAAATGGTGTGGACTTTTTGCAAGGAATGCCAGATTTTTTAATTAATGAATTAATTTATTCACAAGAACCCTGAAGGCAGAGTTTTCAAAACTAATGTAGCCTTGGCAAAAAACAAAGATTGCGCTATTCACTACGATTGATCAAATATCTCTAATAAATTTCAAGTTTCTAGAAGTAGACTTTCATACTGCGTTAGTGGAAAACAGTGGAGGTCTGAAAGGTACGAACAAACGGAACCTTCAAGCAGACTTATACAGCCAGAACAATCAAGGCTGGACAGCGAGGGTGGATACAAACTATACAATCTGGTGGAGTACAAGTGGAAATGAACCAGTATATTTACTACTGGTCTGATCAGGGAAATAGGAAGCAGGTGAGCAAGTAGGCGGGGAAGGTCAGGTGGTGGAAATGGTGGGAAAGATATTACTGCGGGACAGTAGGGAGTCACTAGATCTGGGTTCTTTTTTAATGGCCAGAATTTGACAGCATTTACAGTTGTCTTTCTTTCTAATTATTGAAGTTATAATCCCTGCAGCGTTCTTGTGGCCCAGAGGTCAAAAGAAATTCCATATAAC